ATCCGATCCCTGGGGTGCCTGGCATGTGCAAGAAGCTGGACCTCCCGTACCGGCCAGGGCACTGCGCAGCTCTGGTCCCTGCCATTCGCAAGTGTCTCTGCTTGGCCTTTGGCCAACTTTCGGCCGTCAGTCACCTCGAGCTTGGACGCACGCCTCCGAGTCGAGCAAGGGCGAAAGGAGAGTGGCCGTATTCTTTCGCAGGCGGCATAGCTCAGGCAGGTGCTCAATGCTCCTTGGGCAGCGATTGTTTGGGAATGCTGAGCAGGGGCTTTTCTTTTTGTCAACTCTACTCGCAGACCGCACTTGAGATCGTCGGCGATGCCGCCACCATTCTGAAGCTTCCTGTCGAGATCCCAGCCGCTGGCGTGGCTCCCCGCCCCTCCTTGGTTGGCCACTCGAGCCTACCAGTTAATCGGGCCCGCAGAGCGAGAGTCACGGCGAACCCCCAGGGGAAACTTGCACGCAGATGTTGCAATCAGTGGGTGGTTGGTGTAACTATGGCGTCGACGAGGGTCGGTACCACTCATTGCGAATTTTTCGCAGGGCCATTTGGGCGTCTCTTGGGGAGGCAGGCGGTCTCAGGAGCCAACAGACGAATCTTGGGGGTCTGTCCATGAGGCAATAAGTGTGTGAGGGGTGTGCCGAATCGGAGCTCCCTTAAATCGTCGAAGGGCTCAGCTGAGGGCCCCGGGGAGCCCATGCGGTACAAAGTGTGCGAAGAGAGTGCCAAATTGAGGTTCCTCTCGGCCGTCTTGACGGCCCGCAGATCGCCCCTGGAGGTCCATGTGGCACGAAATGTGTAAGGGGTGTGCCGGATTGAGGCCCCAAGGATCCGTCTCAGGGGCGAAGCTGAGCACACGTGGTGGGCGAAGTGCGTGAGGGTGTACCGGACTGAGGCTCCTGAGAATGGAGATGCGACTCCCCGGTGTTTGTTTATGTATCTTAGAGGCATGAGGGCGCAGGAAATATGAGAGGTGTGTGCCGAACTGAGGCCTTCGTGGCCCTGTGTGCCGTATTACTAGTATTTTCACGTCCGCCAGGATCTGTCACGCGCACGGGCTGGTCAATGCGGGCCAGTCGAATGCGGGCCAGTCGAATGCGCGAAGCCGTTCTCAGCATTGGCCATCAATCTCACCAATCCCCCATCTCATCACCACTGCATCATTTACCCTCGCGGTCTAACGCGTCTGGGGCCCGCAAGGGGCCCGCCGAATTGAACCCGCAGAGCGGGAGTCACGGCGGGCCCCCCGGGCAGATTCGCACGCAGAGTTTGCAATCAGTGGGTGCTTCGGATGTAGTCTCGACAAGGGTGGGCAGCACGTTGCCATCTTTCTCGGGGCCACCTTGGCGTCCTTTGGAGGGTCAAGTAGTCTTAGGTCGGCGGCGAGCCCCGCGGGGAAAGTGAGAAGGGGCGGGCCTTCTCAGAGGGCTCGGAAGTCCTCCGGCCTTCTGAGAGTTTGATGAGCCTTGCCCGAAGACACCAGAAACTTCTCCGACGGCGCGAGGGCTTCTGAGAGGCCCCGCCGTCTTCTGAGAAGGCCTTCTCCTTCCCACTTGCCCTCGTCTCGGTCGCCGCCGATTGTCTCGACAGCCGAAAATGAAGGAAGGGGCAACTGGGCTCAGAGACCATCGGCTCGCATCTCTGGCCTTCGCTCGGCGGGCCCTCCCTGCTCGCCCCGCGTCCCTCTCCGTGCGCTGGCCGGCGTCTGCGGGCCTTCTTCGCCGGCTGCCCGCCCGCTGCCCGCCTCGTACCCGCCCCTGGGGCTGGGCTGGCATCTCCCAAGGGCGCCCAACTTTGCGCCTCGCGCTGCGCGAAGCGCGAGGGCTCGAACAGCTTCGCGCTCTCGCGCCGCCCCCCAGGAGAGAAGAGGAGGATGAGGGGGAATCGGAGCCGAACCGCGAAGTGCGAAGCGAGAAGCGAGAATGGCTTCGCACCTCCGAAGGCGCCCCTGGCTCTGGATACTCTCGCCCTTGCTCCCCGCGCGAGTCCCTCGAGAGCGCCCTTGCCGTGCCCACCGGGTGAGGTGGCGGCATCTGCGGGCCTTCGTCGCCCGCTGGCCGGCACCTGCGGGCACCTGCGCATGGAGCACGGGCGGGCTCTGGGCCATGTTCTTCTCGCTCGGCTCCGATTCCCCCTCATCCTCCTCTTCTCTCCTGGGGGGCGGCGCGAGAGCGCGAAGCTGTTCGAGCCCTCGCGCTTCGCGCAGCGCGAGGCGCAAAGTTGGGCGCCCTTGGGAGATGCCAGCCCAGCCCCAGGGGCGGATACGAGGCGGGCAGCGGGCGGGCAGCCGGCGAAGAAGGCCCGCAGACGCCGGCCAGCGCACGGAGAGGGACGCGGGGCGAGCAGGGAGGGCCCGCCGAGCGAAGGCCAGAGATGCGAGCCGATGGTCTCTGAGCCCAGTTGCCCCTTCCTTCATTTTCGGCTGTCGAGACAATCGGCGGCGACCGAGACGAGGGCAAGTGGGAAGGAGAAGGCCTTCTCAGAAGACGGCGGGGCCTCTCAGAAGCCCTCGCGCCGTCGGAGAAGTTTCTGGTGTCTTCGGGCAAGGCTCATCAAACTCTCAGAAGGCCGGAGGACTTCCGAGCCCTCTGAGAAGGCCCGCCCCTTCTCACTTGCCCCGCGGGGCTCGCCGCCGAGACAAGACTGCGGGCCATGCCAGGCCATGCCAGGCCAAGTTGGAAGCTGCGTCAGGAACTCTGGCTTAGCGCGTCGCTCCGCCGTTCCTGGCCCACCACGCTTTGGCGCGACACGCTATCCACGTGCCCATCCCTAAGCGTCAACGTCCTGAGTTGTTCCGAGGCTCCCGCCCCGCGGAGCGGAGCGACACGCTATCAGCTCGCAGGGCAGATCGTGTCGCCGTCGCCGCGATAGGCTATGCAACAGTTCCTAATTGTGGAGGATGAAACTTGGTGGTCCGAGCTGCCACTCCCAGCTTGCAGGCTTGTCTCGTCGGTCCTGGAGCCTGGACGTCCAGCTCGGAAGCTGGAGCTCCGGTTTGGACTGGAGGGAATCCGATTTGAAGGATCTAGACTCAAAGACGCGCCGCCAACCCGACTGAACGGATCGCGAGGGGGGGCCGCGAGAGGTCACTACGTTCCCCTATGTGCCCGAGCCTTGGAAGGAGCCCTTGGCGAAGAACGACACCATCGCATGCTCAGGAGATTGGCGGGTGCAGTGAGTTCGGTTTGGGCAGGGTAGTAGAAGAAGGGGAGGGGATGGAGAGAGGAGGCTAGGGTACGGGCAATTCCAGGCAGCAGCACCGCACGCCGGCTCGCGCATTCCCTTCCGCCCTCCCCCCCTATCACATAAGAAGCACCCAACAGCACAGACATTGGCCGCCATCCGATGTACACCCACTCGGAACCACAGCATACGCCAGGTGCGCCATTCTCTCGGGGTGCGCTGACCTTGTGAGCCAGATGATGTATGTGCTCAAGAGTGTCAGGCGCACTTGGCGCGCCAGATGCACAACGTCCACGCGACAGCACACATCGCGGCGGGGTGGTCAGCATGATATATGGCGCTTGCTCCCGTGACCTCTTTGCACGGGTTTTGGTACCGATGGTGGTAGGCCCGTGCGCATCCCTGATGCAGCGCAGTGCAACATTATGTCGGAGCGCCCGCACATTGTTTTGTATTTACCGCAGTGTGCGCTTTCGAATTGTTTTCACCAGGTATGGTGGTCGAGGGGGAGCATCTTTCGGGTCGGTGATCGTTTAATTAAAGTTGGGGAGAGTGTGTACAGGAATGCGGAGCAGTGATCATGTCGGAAGGGATCAGGGGACCAGGGGACGGCCCCCCCTGGGGCTGTTTCAGCATGCTGCAGTTTGCGGACGGCTGTTGATCCCCCTTCTGTTTCTTTCGCTATCTTTGCTCCGCGTTCTCCTTCTCGCGGGGAACGAGTCTGTACCAGCGCGAGTTCCCCACACCTGCTGCCAATTGCCGGGGGAAGTCTTGGCAGCTGAGTGCTGGGTGGCCGAAGCCAGATTTAGCAGCGACATCTTCGCCGAGGATGCGGCATGCACCGTCGATGGACAAGCGTCGGTCGTGGGATCTTGCCGCGCAGCGATGGCACGGACGGCGAGGCCGGCTAGATGAGTAGCGATTGCAATCCGCTCCCAGATGGCTCCGAGCATGTCGTCTACACTAGCAACATCGACACGCTCGACGTGTGCCTCCTGCGCGACGACAGGAGACCCACCCGGCGAATATGGTACGGCAGAGGGGATCAGCATGTTTTCTGCGCCCAGCGATCCCCCGTGGTAGCCTTGCTGTATCCCGCTGTCCACGCGCTCGCCTCAGCTTCTCAGCTGGTGAATTCTCGCTTCTCCTCCTGTTCCCTGGTTCTTTTTGATCATCCTTGACCTCGTCACCCTCTTCTTCATCTAGCATCTGAATACTCTTGTTTTTGCTTCTGCTCCGACATCTGTTCTCACGATTATGCGCCGTTCTTCGGTCGTTTTTGCGTGGGCCCACCGCGCGACATCCAGTTGACCGTTCGAGGGTGTAGCGCTGGTAAGAGGAAGCTGGCGGAAGCTCAGCGGAAGGCGGCGGAAGTGAAAGATGCGCTTCCAAGAGATGAAAACAGTTTTGGGTTCAGGGTTTCCGAAATCGCCCATAGAATTGCCAGTGACGGCATCGGGCTGGCAACGCGGCGGTGCTGTGCTGGCAGCGCGAACGCCGCCGCCGAGGCCCTCCCGCGCGGGAGACGCTCTGCATCTTCCCCTCCTGCCAGAACCCTAGAGCTCGGGTCGGACGAAAGGCCCAGATCTCCGACGACATGCTCTTTTCGACCCGCGGTTTGCTCGATTTGCGTGTCCTCGGCCCGAGGCAAAAAAACTTGGCCCAGGAAAGGGCTCGTGACCTCGAGGCCGCGCTTGAAGCAGTCAGGCCGGATGTCTGGGGGTGGTGGCACGCCCGCGACAGTCTGCACGATCTGAGCGGCTCCGCCTTCTCCTCCCTCTGCTCCCCCCGCCTGGCGCCGTGCCCCGACTCGTTCCTGGCGCGTCCCGCCCGCAGCCCGACCAGCGCCTGCCCCTGCTTCGGCTCGCCTGCGCCCGCTGACGTGGAACATGTCTGGGGGGGGGGGGGTCTGGGATGGGGGGTCGCAGGCGTTTTTTCTCCAACTTGGGGGGGGTCTGGGATGGGGGGTCTGGGATGGGGGGTCGCAGGCGTTGTTTCTCCAACGTGGGGGGGGGGTTCAGGAAACTTGCCGCACGCAGTTGGTCTCGGCCCCGCCGCCGCCGGGCGCTCTCCTCGACACGCGCGCGGCGCCCCTTGGCGCAGGGAGGCGCCGCAGAGATCGGCCGCGTGAGCTGGGTCGCTGAAGCCCATGTGGCTATCATCCCCCTCCAGGAGGGCAAAGAAGCACACATACATAAACAATCGTTGATGTCACAAAGAATCTGGGAAACATGGGAAGTGGGGGGGGAGACGAACATCACGAACATATGGCATATAGGGGGAACCTTGAGATTGGTATATATTTATTCGTGTGTTCCTGGGCCCCTTCGCCTTTGTCCGATCCGAGACGCGGGCCGCTCGTATCGAAGAAGCAAAACGGCATACACATAACTTGTCGACTTTCCGCGCGGATGCTTTGGATCTGTGCTGGAGCCCCCTGGCGGCGCCTCCTGCGCCGCCCCTGGTGCGCTCCGCGCGCCATGGCGGGGGCCCAACGCAGATCCAAGGAATCCGCGCGGAGCGTCGAAAGTCTATGTTTCTGCCGTTTTTCCTTCCCCTGCCTTTGTCCGGCCCGAGACGCGGCACGCTCGTAGGGGAAAGGTAAACAACCGAAGCGGCGGCGCCAGGATGCAGTGCGCGGCGAATTTCCCAGTCATGTGCTCCACGCGGAAGTGCGTCCTCACCCCCGCCCCCGCCCGCTGGCTTTGCAGGCGGGGAAAGGGTCGGGAGGATGAAAACCATGCGAGGTAGGGGAGGTACGGGGGGAGGAAGAGTAGATGCAGGAGGGGGAGGAGGATGACGAGGATGAAAGGAATAGGGGAGGAATAGAGGAGGAATAAACGAGGAGGAGGAGGATCAAATCGCGCGCAGCCGCTGCCCGGCCGCTTCCCTCCTCGCTCGCACTCCACCCGTTCCCCCCTGCGCGTTGCTCCCCCCGTCGCCGCGCGATAGCCCGGGTCCATGCCGGGGTGCCGGGGCGGGTGCGCGGGCTGGTCGGCTGCACTGCAGGGCCCCTGACTGCGTGGGGTGGCGCCCCCTACTACATCGTATATTTGTCACTTCGAAGGTGCCCTGCTCGCTCCCAGACGCGAGCATGGCATGGCAGACCGTGCAGCGCCGCCGCCAGAGGGGAGGCAAACCCGAGCTGGCGGCGGAGATGCTGCGCAGTTTCTTCGTCGGCCGAGGCGACAAGGCCGGCGGCGGAGGCCCCAGAGGTGGCGACGGATGGCAGCCTCCGCGCCGCGCCGAGAGGCGATACCTCTGTGGCGCCACCAGCGGGGAGGATCGCGGCAGTTCCCACCGCTGCAGGGCAGCGCGGGCGGGCGCCCCCGCCCGCTGCCCCCCGCCCGCGCTGGAGCGCGCCGCTGCTTCGCAGGCCGGGTGGCCGCCGCTCCCAGGCACGGGGCCCCCTCGGCAGGACGCGCAGCCTGCGTGGCCGCCCGCGCCTTAGGACGTGGCCGCGGCAGCCGCCGTGATGGCGGCCGCCCTCGAAGCCTTCGCGGGCTAACTCGATGGCGTCGGCCTCGAGTCCGATGCCGTGACAGTGCGGCGGCAGGCGGCCGAACTGAGGAAGCGGGCGGCCGCGCCCCCGCTGGGGCGCCGCCTGGACATCTTGGAGGCCATTATACGTGGCCATGGCGGCCGCCCGGGTTAAGAAGGCGGCGGCGGCGGTCGAGGCTGCGGAGGCCGCGCTGGCCCGGAGCGACGAAGTGACGTTCCAGCAGAAGTTGGCGGAGGGACAGGCCAAGCTCACGCACCTGGACGGAACGCCTGGACGACTCCAGGCGGAACGCCTGGACGACGCTTCGCTGGCAGCCGCCCCAGACGCGGATTTGTCACGGTCGGCGCGCGCGCTCCTGGAGGCGCTGAACACCGCGAGCGTGGTGTGCCCCGTCAGCGGCAGGCCGCCCGAGAGCATTGCGGGCCCGATTGCCGCCCTCCACACCACCCTGAGACAGGTCGAGTCCAGGGTGTGGCCGCCAGGTTCGACGAGGCGATCCACGAGGAGCCGGCCCTCTGGATGCACCCAGGAGCAGCGCAGGAAGCGGAGGAGGAGTGCGACGGCGATCCCCACGCTGCCGCCAGCAGGGACGAGGAGGCCGACGAGGACATGAGCGAACAGGACTGGCGCGGCGCCTGCAGCGGTCCCATAGGCTCGGCCGTCTGGGGGGTCTGCAAGGAGAAGGGCCGGAGGAGGTCTTGTCGGCTTCGGCCCCGCATCCGAGGCCTCCGCGACGCTGGCCGCTGCCGCGGCCCCGCCGGCGGGCGCACGCGGCGGGCCCGGCCGGCCCGGCGACGCGGCCTCCTTCCCTCCGGCCGCCCCCCGGCCGATTCTTCGATGGGAGCCGGTCTCCGAAGAGGACGAGGGCCCGAGCAGCGCGCCAGGGCGCTCACGATATTCGCGGCCGCCACAGCCCCGCGGGGAAGCGCACGTGGCGGCCCTGGCCGGCGCAGCGGCGCGGCCTCCCCCCCTCTGGCCGCCTCCCGGCCGATCCGTCGACGGGAACCCAGCCCCGAAGATGACGGGTGCATCCAGCAGCGCACCCGGGCGCTCCCGGTAAGAGGAGGAGGAGGAGGAGGAGGAGGAGGAGGAGGAGGAGGAGGAGGAGGAGGAGGAGGAGGAGGAGGAGGAGGAGGGGGAGGGGGAGGGGGAGGGGGAGGGGGACAAGCTAGGTGCGCTCGCGTCATATCTGACATCCTACCCTCCCATCCCTTACCGCAGATCCCCTCTCTACTCGCACAGTCGGATGTCGAGCAGGGCAATGATCCCGAAAGGGTACGCGATGCATTGTAGAGCACGGCATGGCATGGCGTAGAAGAGCACCGCAAAGCGTAGTATCAACCTAGCATTGCATTGCACGCCGTGGCATGGCACGGGAAATCACGCCAGCGCTGCAGCGGGAGCACGAGTCGAAACGAGCGGAAGCGCGGAAATGAGGCCAGCGCTGCAGCGGGAGCACGATTCAGAACGAGCGGAAGCACGGAAATGAGGCCAGCGCTGCAGCGGGAGCACGATTCGGAACGAGCGGGGCCCGAAAATGAGGCCCGCGCCTTAGCGAGAGCAGCATTTTGAAACAAATGCAGGCGACAACCCAACTCCGGGGAAACCTGTGTGTAAAAAAACCGTACGCGCGGGGGTCGGACACTTTCAGGCCGTCATCGGGGGAAGACGGAGAGTAGTATTCATATTGAGTAATTGTGGAGGAGGAGGAGGAGGAGGAGGAGGAGGAGGAAAAGGAGGAGGAGGAGGTGGAGGAGGAGGAAGAGGAGGACCTGTGTAAACTCTAGACGCATCAGCAAAGTTGCAATGAACCCTGTCTCCAACATCCCTCTTCATGCGTCTCTACGAGATTTCTATTTCCAATGCGGGAAGTGCCGCCACATTGGAACACAAACGTCTGATTACCTAGTCGTGCCAAAACGTCATCCCTGGGACTTCGACGCCGCGAATCAGCCTGACTGTTGCGTCCTGGCGATCCTGAATCGCACCAAGGCAGCATTCCTGGCACTTCACCACCGCGAGCCAACTATCCGGTGCGTCCTGACAATCCCAAAGCGTTCCATGATTCAAGTCCTGCGGCTTCAGAACTAAGATTCCTGAATATGCTGCGAACGAGTGACACGAAGAGTCGCGGCGCTCAAGCGAGGGCCACATATCAACACACGACTCGCCCTCCACCCGTGAAGCTCTTGCAAACGTTAAAAAAAGACGAATGTGCGCGGTGCTGAAGCGAGAGCCATAGTTTGAAACGCCCCGCCCTCCTTCTGTGAAGCCCTTGCAAACTTTGAGACGCATGTGCGCGGGTTAGAGTCTGTAGAGGCTAGGATGATGAGGAAGCATGAGGGAGGAAGTGGGAAAAGGGTGGAGGACGGAGGGCGACAGGCGGATGAGGGCGGAGGAGGGCGGAAGAGGGCGGAGGGCGGAGCAGGGCGGAGGATGGCGGAGCTGGGCAGAGGATGGCGGAGGAGGGCGGAGGGCGGAGGGGGCGGAGGAGAGAACATTCGAAGGACACTCTGACAACCACGGATGGTGGGAAATTCGCGCGCACCGCAGGGCGGCGGCCGCTCGCGCCGCTCAGCGGGCGAGCGGACACCGCCCCCACATCATACTGGCGGTAAGTGCTGGGTCGAGGCAATGCCGAAAGGCGGGGAGGTTTTAGGACAACCTCGAGCCAATGCCAGGGACGCCCCAGACAACAGTGGGCCCCCCCTGTGTACGACGAAGTTTCACTGCGAGCATGCCTGCATGAGCACGCTGAACCCTTGATTTCGCCTACGCGTCAGCCAGGGATGCACGGCCGAGTCAGTCAGTCGAACCAATGCCAAACCCTCGGCACGCCAGCGATTAGCGCCAGGCCGAGGCACCGCCAAAAGGTTTTCGTGGGGGGGGTCCGGACAATCCCAAACCTATGCCACCACCAGAGCCGGCGGGCACCTCAGCGGTTTCCTTTGCGAAGCTACCGCCTCCGAGTCCAGCTGGCCGTGCTCAGCCCAGCACTGCATGTGGTACCGCCACTCGCAGGCGGGGGCCGAGCAGCCGAAGAACGCATCGCCCTTCTCGAGATGCTCGCCGCCGCACAGGTGGCAATCCCAGTCAAAGGCATCCTCGACAGGCTGCGCAACCTCAAACATCAGCGAGTGCCCCTCGAGGCACTCAGAACATTCCATGCCCCCCTGCTCGATGGCCCCGCGCCGAAGCTCCTCCAGCTGGTACTCCAAGACCCCGGTCGGACGTAGCGTCGGACGCGTCCCAATTCTGAGCGCATCTCCAGTCCAGCGGCCGCTCGCGGCACTGGCCTACCTCGGGCGACTCTTCGGACAGCTCCTCGTCCTTGACCAGGTGAGGTGCGAATCCATCACCGCCTGCTGCACGATGCCGCGGACGCGCCCGAAAGACAGGTCCTCGCCATCGGCACGGTGTTGATCCAGCGCCTGCACGAGGTATTTGTCGATACCGCAGATCTCTTCCTGCTCCTGCGAGCGGGACCGCTCGTACTCCTTGACCGTCTTCACCATGGACCGCTCGAGAACACCCCAAGTACTCCGCCAAGAGCAGGTCCACGCGGTCACGCGCCTGCGCGGGCGGCTCGCAGACCTTCCACAGCCCCGCCATCCCCAGGGGGACGAATGCATCGCCCAGGAGCCCAGGCGACTCAAATGTAGACCAGAAGCCAGAGGCCAGCCAAGGAAGGTCGCGGTCGCGGTGGGGCACAAAGGGCTCGGCCACGGCAGAGAGGACGGAAGAGACAATTTAGGCTTCCTATATGGGGTCAGAGTAGATGCGTCGGAGGATCACGCCGCATCGCTGGTGCATCGACGATGCGGCTCGATGTGGAGCCTGTGCTTCCCCACGCCGGCGTCGCCGATGCATCGCCGACGTCGACGACGATGCATCGCCGATGCATCGCCGATGCGTTGGCGATGCGGCGCGACCCTTCGACCCCGTCTACTCGGACCCCATCTGGCATCGGCCAAAAAAACAAACGACACTACCCCACCTACGGCCCTCCATGTTGCGCCACGGCCCATTGGGAGCCGTTGCGTATTCCATGCGAAAACCCACGCCAGATATCCAGGTATGCGCTACGGCCCGTGGGGCCGTAGGTGGGGTGGTGTCGTTTGTTTTCTGTCCACATGCAGGAGGCCTCTGGACAACCCCAGGGGTCACCTCCACGTCCGCCGCCATCCGGGCCTCGAGCCGTGCCCGCTTTGCAGAGCCCTCCGAAGGGTCGCCGCGCCCGCCCAGGACACGTCGACGCCGCTCGCAGCGGCACGCCTCTGCGGCGCTCCGCCGCAGCACGTCCAGCCACGTCGGCGCGCGGCCCGCCGGCCTGGCCTGCAGCGCTCGGGCGGTCGCCCGCAGGCGCTGCCCCGCCTCGCTGCAGCTGGCGGCCTCGCCGAACGCCTCCTCCGCGGCAGACGCACGCCCGCGGGGTGCACCAATCGGAAGTGTGAAGAAGAAGAAGAAGAAGAAGAAGCTTCACGTTCCGTGGGCTCCAGATGTCGTTTGAGAAAACTGATCGTCTTGACTGGACCCTGGGCGTTCTCTTGGGGCCTTCTTTCCGTGTAATGCTTGTAGACCCGGACACGGACTACTGTTTAAGAACACGCTTGGAGTGAAGTCCATTGTTGCAGCTCAGAGTCGTCTTCACTCTGAGCAGGGGTGCACGACCGATCTCATCCGGAAGCCGAAGGACTGCGCGATCCGCCGAGTGGCCGCGCCCCCTCTCGTGCTGCTCTGCGCTTCTCTGCGGGGCGCCTCGGACGGGCAGCGCTCCCGCCCCCCCGTGACGCCATCGCTTGCACGCTGACCGTTCGAGCCAGCCTGGGCCAAACTGGCTACGGTCGGTTCGGGGAGGGTACCCTACTGTTCTTCGTGTTTGTTGGACGTTATTGTGCACCCTGGGGAGGGTCCACTTGGATGTTCTTGGTGTCTTGGCCGGCGGAGGGTCAGAGAGGCGGCTACGACGGATTCAGCCGCACTTTCCTGGGTGACCTGGTCGAGGTTCAGCACGACATCCGCATCCTCTGCCGCCACCGCAAGCTGGATGTCGACTGGAGCGCGGTGTGGCAGCAGCAGGAGAGCCGCCAGAGCCAGGCAGCCGGAGGGAAGGGCTAAGGAGGGAAGCGCCCCAGCGAGGCAACCTGGCCCATTGGGGACCAGTCCTGTTTACGTGGACTCTAGTGGCGACAGACGACGACGACGACGACGACGACCACGACGACGACCACGACCACGACCACGACCACGACCACGACCACGACCACGACGACGACGACGACGACGACGACGACGACGACGACGACGACGACGACGACGGCCTTGCCGTTTCCTGGGCCCACTGGGCGTGCCACTGACCCACTTGGAGTGCGGCCACAGCGAGGTGCCTTCCACCGTTGCCCGCACATTGATCCACCTGTCTGTGCACCTATTATGTGCGTTTCGCCTGGCGCGCCTCCCACCCCAGGGGGTGCGCCTCACGATGTGCCTTCCATCCCAGGAGCTGCCTGGCGTCCTGATCCACCTGTCTGTGCATCTGTTAGGTGCGTTTTGCGCGGCGCGCCTCTCACCCCAGGTGGTGCGCCGACTTCCTGCCCCCCAGGCGCGCCATCCGCCCCGGGTGGTGCGCCTGGCCGCCGTTAGCTTGCCCCAGCTTATTTCATCCTGTCTGTGCACCTGTTAGTCCCCGCGGGCGCGTCGTCCCCGCGGGCGCGTCGTCCACCCCAGGCGACGCATCCCACCTGGCCCTGGCGCGTCATCTACCCCAGGTGAGGCGCCCCCGCCCGCCCGCTTCCCGGCGGCTAGTACTTGTCTGCGCACCGCAGACGCCCGCTTTGCGCGCCGTCCACACCAGATGGGTCGCCCCGTCTCCTCGCGGGCGCAGCAGCCCGCCCAGGCGCTGCGCTTGGCGCTGCCCGAGGCCCAGCCCAGTTCGCGGCCACCTGCTCACGCACTGGCTGCGGGCTCCTTGCCTCTGCGCGCGGCGCGTCAGCCGTCTCGGCTGCGCGCCCCCGCACCGCCCGCCGCTGGGGCGCCGTGGAGCGCGCTCCGCCTCGGGCCCCTTTGGCCCGTGCCGGTTTGGTGCTTTTGCCGCCTGACAGGCCACGAGCCCCGCAGGTTGGCCGCCGCCCTTGCTGGTAGCTCGCGCGCCGCCCAGTCCTTGGCTGTGATGCGTGCGCCGGCCCTGGGCTCGGCGTGCTGCCTCTTCGCCCTCCTCACCGCCGCCCCTTGCCGTGTGGCCTCCACGCGTCGCTCGGCGGCCGCCGGGCGCCGGAACTCTCCGGGCGCTCCGCTTCGCCTGGCCTCTTCGCCCACCCTTCCTCGCGCTGCGGTCGCGCCTCGCCGCCGCCACGCTGCACCGCGCTGGGCCTTACGCCCAACCCGCCGCAGCCGGCCCTCGCCGCCGCCTCCTGCCCCCCCCACCCCTTGGCGCCTCCTGCCCGCCCCTTTGGCGGCCCGCTGCTTCCGCTGCCCCCCACTTGCTGGGCCCCGGCCTACACTGCGGCTGCCCGCTCCTCCCCTGGGTGCGCCTGCGATGCAGCCCCCGCTAGCTGCCGTGGGCTGCCCTGCGGCCTGGCCGCCCCGCGCGCGCCCCGCGGCCTCGCCGCGTGAGTGCGCCTTCTTCCCACCTCCTGTCTCTGCGGCTGGCTCTCTTCTTTCCCTCCTCCTCTTGCACGCGGGACAATTCGCAATGCCGTAGCCCAGGTTGCTTGGACGCGCGAGCGGATCGTCTTTGCCGCGCAGCGACGGAACAACTTTCTATCCCTGGTCCGGCTGTATGGTGGAGGGCGGAGGAGGGCGGAGGTGGGCCGAGGGCGGAGTCGGGCGGAGGCGAACGTCCTCAGGAGAGGCTTCCAACCGGCGGGGGCTGCGCGAGAGGTCACCAGCACGGACTACTGCTGCGTGCCCGACGCCTCGGACTGTTCGAGCGGAGAGGACGCTCGCCCTCCGCCCTCCAGCCTCCACCGCTCCCCTCCTCCGCCCTCCTCCGCCCTCCGTAGCCCTCTTTAGCCCTCCTCCGCCCGCCGTCGGCCGCCGTGCCGGCCGAGGGACGCCGACGTCGCCGCCGCCGCAGTCGCCGCCGCCGCCGCCGTCGCCGCCGTCGTGCTCTGTCGTCGTCGTCGTCGTCGTCGTCGTCGTCGTCGTCGTCGTCGTGATGGGAAGGGTGAAGAGTATGATGATGCTGCTGATGATGATGTTGCTGAGGATGAACATGTCGATGATGATGTGATTGATGGTGCTGATGGTAAACATGATGATGATGATTCTGATGATAATTATGATGATGGTGCTGCTGCTGATGATGATGATACTGCTGCTGATGATATGCTGATGAAGATGATGAGGATGCGGATGCTGATGGTCGTGGTGATGCTGATGACGATGATGGCGATGGTGGTGATAATGATGATGCTGCGGGTGACGATGATGATATAATGATGATGGTGGTGATGGTGATGGTGATGGTGCTGATGCTGATGATGATGCGGATGATGATGGTGGTGATGATGATGATGATGATGATGAGGATGATGATGATGATGATGAGGATGATGATGCGTTTAGATGCTGGTGGTGATTATGAGGATGGCGTTCATGATAGATGGTGGTGCAGCGACTTGTCGGCATCTGTGACGCACACGTGGCCATACTCGTACTTGCTCAAATGTTTGAGGGATGCGAAGTGCGCTCGCTAACTTTGCTCACGACCTCAGTGCGGCCCTCACCACCGCCGTGGTCGTGCGCGCAAGCGCCCAGCCCTGCCCCGATTGCTATTGCGCCCCATCTTTGCAGTGTCCTCCATTTTCTTGCTCGTGCCCGTCTGGAGAGGGACTTGTCAGCGCCGAGTGGTCGCCAGGCTGGTCAACAGCCGCCATGGCGGGCTTCGCGGTGGTGGCCTTCACCTGCGGGATAGGCGTCAGCGCCTGGCTCGTCATCCCGAGGACGCGCCAGGCGTCTCCCATCGTCGACTCGCGGGCCAGCGGGACGGCCACGACGACAGAGGCCGCAGAAGACCTGACGGTAGCGGCGCAGCAGCAGGCACGAGCGTTCCGCCGCCGCGGAGTGAACGATGGAGGTCCTCGCGCCTGGAGAGTTCCATCTGGTGAGGTACAACGTGGGTGGTCGGGTGATCTACCACGAGCGGCTCAACTTGCTGCTCGGGGGCTACATGCTACATCCTCACGCCCGATGGCAACGATTACGCGGGAAAAAAAGAAAGGGACCACCCCCGACGCGGACATCCACAGCGTCATCGTGCTTCCTGGTCAGGGAAGCGCTCCCGCGGCCATTGGGACCGTTCATGTGCATCGATTCCAGATGCTGCCGACAGCGGCCGCAGTGTGGGCCGCCTTGCGGCGTGGTGCCGCCCTGGGGCATGCGCCCATGCCCGCGCCCCCGTGATTCTCGCTGCACCTCGGCGTGGGGGACGTGCTCGGGGCCGCTCCTGGCAAGATCACGTTGGCCGATCCGTTGGCCGCGACTCTTGGGCCTGGGGCAGCAGCAGCAGCAGCAGCAGCAGCAGCAGCAGCAGCAGCCGTGATGCCTGGCGCGGCGGCTCCCGCCGCCGCCGCAGCAGTGGGGCCGTCTGCCGCTGGTGCTGTCGCAGGTGCGCCGCCGAGAGGCGGGGTGGGAGCGCTCGCCGTCGCTCTTGGAGGCGCCGCGGTCCCCTCCGCCGCGGCTCCCGCAGCCGCGGCGGCCGCGCCGCCCAGAGCCGCGCCGGGGGCCGCAGTCGCCCCCGCGGCCGATCCGAGGGCGCTGCCTCTCGTCTTGCACGGCTGCGGGCTGCGCGACCGTGGCTTCGGGGACGCATTGAAGCTGCAGGCCGAGACGGTGCGGGCCGACTGCCTGGTCCAGGGGCCGCGCACGCTGTTGTGGGTGCTCTTCTGCGTGCTCCGCATGGCGGGCGGGGCCATGGCGTGGCGCGCGCGCTGGCTGGCCATGATGCAGCTGCTGACGAGCGACGACAGGGCGAAGCTGCACGAGTCGATCTGCCGCATGATCGAGGCCGCCCTGTGCCACGACCGGCTCGACATAGGTGAGCTGGTCAGCTTCGAGCGAATGGGGCGACGGCGACGGCTGCAACTCATCAAGGAGCAGGTCTTCGAAGAGAAGGTGCGGAGGCCCGCGGCTGCCGCTGGCCCGAAGGCCAAGGCGCAGGGGAAGGAGTCAGTCGCCGCCGATTTCGCTACGGAGGTTGGCCACTTCCTCGGGACTGGCGAGACGAAGGACAACCTGTGCATCTGCCCCGCGCTGATGGACTGGATTGCAGAACAGATGGGGAACGAGGCCGCTGTGGCAAAGGAACGCCGCAGGGCTCGCGAGGAGCGGGCCTTGCGCGCATCGTGGGTGGCCTTGAGAACGAGGATCGGGAGGGGCCTCACCTCGCCGCTGCGGCGCGGGGGTCCGATGCGGGAGCCCCAGAGCGCAGTGGCGCTCCGCCTGGCCCGGGCCCTCCAATGCGAGATCGTTTTCGCCAGCGCGACATTTTTCCTCTGCCTCTTCTCCGAGTGGATTATCGCCGCCACACCCCACTTGACCGCGGTGCTCGCCATTGTGCCGCCAAAGGCGCTGCCTGGAGGGAGTGGTGCAACGAGGGGTTGACCGCTCTCAACTGGTTGCGTTGCGGTAGGGTGGGCGCTTGCGCTGATGACTGCGATGCGGCTGGTCCTTCTGCGCGGCAGGCCTCGGTGGGCTACCTCGCGGGCCAGTGCCGCGACTTCGAGCTGCCCTCGGGCTGCTCTGAGAGGCAGCGAGGGCGAATGGTTCCTCCCAGAGATGCTCGCTCAAGCACCTGGCTACGCTGGCGACGGCGGTCGGGCGCGGCCCTGCAGCTTGCCTTTGGTGGCACGGCCCAAGGCGGCGGTCCCCGAGCCCGCGTGCGACGTCGTCTCGGTTGCCGATTCTCAGGTGTTGCAGGGATGGAGGCAGAGCACGCTGAATCCCGAACCGGTCGCTGAGTAGGTCCGCGGGTCTTCGGGGGTCGTTCGGCCCTGCGTGGATCCTGAGCTTCGACGCCGGCCGAAGTCTTACGTTGAGTTTTTGAAGCAGCTGGAGTCGCGCGACATGCCGTGGCGGGTGGCTTCAGCGGGCACCGCTCACTCAATTGGGTTCTTGTTTGTGGAAAAGATGGACAGGGTGCTGAGGCTGGTGTTCGACGCGACGGTGGCGACTTGCAGTTTTAGTCCGCCTGCGACGCGTCTGCCGACGCCGATTTCACGGGCTGGCCTTGACTGCGACGACGTGTTCGACTTTCCCCAGGGAGATATTCCACGTGCGTTTCACCATCTGCGGCTGATGCCAGGGATGGAGTCACTGCGCCCATTTCCCGTGGTGTCAAATAGATTCCTCGGTATATCGTCCGTCGACGGGAAGAGAGCCAGCGGCCGCGCATGTATCCAGCCTCTTGCGTGCCCTTCATGTCTGTCAAAGTGCCCTTGCGCGTGCGATTAGAGAGGCTGGGTTTTGGGGGGTCAGACTTTAGTTGTTGGGTCAGCTACCCGTCCTTTTCGAGACCCAGAGGATGCTGCATGCGCAGGCTATGTCGACAATTTTTGCGTGGTGTCTAGGCCGGTTGAGGTGGCCCCCCGTCGATGTCACGGGACTTTTGAATTGCTTGATTTTCGTGGGATCCCTGTGCTCGAGGTCACCCCAGCAGTCCAGCGCGGGGCCTTCGCTGGTCTGGTCTTGGACGGAGGGTCTGGCGTGATTCGAGTGCGACCCGATCGATTGGCCCGTCTTCGTCAAGCTGCCCTAGCACTCGTCCGTCGGGGGCGGGCTGCGAGCGGGGCCCTGAGCGTCTTTGTGGGCCACTGTGCGTGGGGAATGCATCTGGGGAGGGGCGCTCTCTCGGCGTTTTACTCTGCGTAACGGTTCATCGTTGTCGCGGGCCCCCAACCAGCTCCACTGCGGGGCTTGGTCGTCCTGGGGTTTCGCTGCGCTGCCGCCCCCCACTCAATTGTGGAGCGCGTCGCCCTGGTCTGCGCGGCGCCCCCGGGCGCCTCGCCGCGCGGGAAGGGCGTCTGCGCCGAGGAGATTACAAAGGAGATCTTTTCGGGCGCGGGGCGGGTCTCCGAGATGTGGAGATGCCGGTGCGCGGGCAGCGCTGCAGCTCGAGGGCGCGCCCCCATCGCCGCCGCCGCCCAACCCGTGGGCGGGTCTGCAGGAGAAGTCCGACCTGTGGGCGGGCCTGAAGGAGATGGAAACGGCCGGGGATGAGTGTTCATTTTCGCCGAGCACGCGCGCGAGTCTGAGGGAGATGCCCAGCCCGTGGGCGGGCCTGGGACAGACGTCCAATCCATGGTGGTGGAGTGGTGGAGGTGCCCAGCCCGTGGGCGGGCCTGGGACAGACGTCCCTCACCCCTCCAACTTATGGTGGTGGTAGTGGTGGAAGACAATCCCATTATCGAGGGCCTGGGGCTCCCGCGCGGCGCCATAAACATAAACTTCTCGTGCTCCGCGCGGATTTCTTGGATCCGCGCTGGGCCCCCCCCGGCGGAGCCTCCAGCGCCGCCCCAGGCGCGCTCCGTGCGCCAGGGAGGGGGTTCAGCCCAAAACCAAGACATGCGTGCGGAGCGCCAACAGTTTTATGGTTATGGCTGTTTTTCTTCTTCTTCTTCTTCTTCTACATTGGATGCCTGAGTTTTCTGGTCTCAGCCGACGAGATCGGTCGCTACCGATTTTGCTTCAGATTCCACTATCGGTCGCGACCGATTTGAGATGCCGTTCCGTCGCTACCGATCGCGAACGAACAGAAGGCTGTATCCAATGTTCTGGGCCCCCCAGAACCTGCAGATCCACATGGCGCAAAACGATTGTGACGGCCGTTCTCCCGAGCCACTCTGCCTGACGGCCCGGGGCCCGGCTGCTTAGAGGGCAGGCCGAACACTTCTGTCGTGATTTTCCCAGGACGCCGGACGTCTGACCCCTTCCTCAGAAGA